GTTACCCTTCTAACACTATGTTGAATCCAATTTTCATTCAATAAAAAAGTCGAAGAACACGTAGCACATGGTAGTGTGGATGTTTATCAACCAAATACATATGATAAAAGAACAACGTTGAATAAGAAACGGGTGAATCGTATAGAGGGAATAGGGATAATTGTGAAATTTTATTCTTGATTGCTGGCGTCATTATCACGCTTCCTCCATGATAGCAAAATAGGTGCTGTATACTTTGATTCGAGTATCCCAATATCATCCATAGCTGTGAATCGCCTTCCTTCGTCAAAGGTATAAGCCCTTTTGTCAATTTCTCCTATCCATTATCATCCTCAGCCGAATGTATATGGTATGATCTATCCTTCCTTCTGACAACATGACAAATACTCCTTGCTTTGATTGAACCCATTCGCCATAATCATTACGAATCCAACATGTTGATAGAAGAAGCCCCAGAGATCGCTGTTGATGCGCTCTCATTCCCATCGACCCTTGGTCCCTCTCTTCGTGGGTCACTTTCCATCACAGCTCAACCAGTTGAAGACTGCTTGTATTGCGGCGTAGTTGATGGCTGATAGCTTGTCATCCAAACTAAACATCGCGTTTTAAACGGGCCAACAAGGGAACCAAACCAGTCAATAGATCCACTTCCTTCCATCACATGTATCAAAGCATTGCATCATTCAGATCCATATCCATTGTAATTCGTATGTATTGAAGCAAGTTGCTACATGTAAATAAAGCTGTTTCTATACAATCGCTATCTGCTGTTCACATGAAAAGGCTGTAAGACCCGTTGCTGCAAGCAAGTGAACGAAAGCATTGGAGATACTCAAATGCTCATGTTTCAAAAACAATAAATTTGAGAGTGATGATGCCCAAAAATAGTGCTTGTTACATCAAAGTCTGGTTCATTGTAAGCTATGTAGAGCTTTCCAAGTAAAGGTTGTCAATCTTTCTATATAAATGATATGCTTATTTTTCTGTCCTGTATGAATGCTTCGATGTAAGGGATACAATTGGCCATCGGAGGAACGTAACCTGATACATATTATGTAACTACTACTATGGGGATGCCGCGCACTTAGCAATTCTCGTTCTTTTTTACTAGCCACGAGGTGTTTGTCATTGCACCAAAAATGTATCATTATGCACGTAGATCACAATCTGTTAGAGGCTAGAGATTTTTTATTCCCCTTATCAAGTCTATACAACATATTTACACGATTTAGCGCTATTATACATAATGATAAACAATGTACCACAATCATTGAACTAAAAAGGAGGTCTGACACCATCCATCATCAGCTTTCCCATCACAAATTGCTGCAAGTGATTCTCTTCTTCCGCTTCATCAATCCTTGCTGTTGATCGTAAACGATGGGATATTGATGTAGATCTAGACGCCAGCGTACCAACCGACTGAGCAAGAGAAGCCACATCATCATCACGTGGGTAACCTTGATCTCCTCCTCCAACTCCTCTGGATGATGGTCTTTCGCTTTCTGAGCCTTGTAATCGATATCCCATATGCCTCAATATCGCTGCCAAATGCTTCATAATGTCAAAATAACGCTCTTCACTGATAGGGGCCCGAGAAAATCGTGCTTGCTCATAACCTGCTATATATCCACGGCCGAGTTGTTCATCAATGAGTCCAAGATGGATCAGGCCTTCGATATACTGACGTAAGCTATATTTCTTGAATCTTGCATATACGGTGCTTCCATGGACATTGGCCACTACTTGTTCTTTGAATATCAAGGTGATTCCATTGTTAGCTATATAGTATGTATTGGTGCCTTATTTATGCTCTTACCAATGATCAATGGTGTTCGAACAATGGCGCTCTTGAAATTGACGCCTTCAAGATTGGATACACCTACACCGATTTATGGATCAATGAAATGCAAGGCAAATAAGGGGCAAGGAAATGAAACAGAAGATACCTGGTTGACCCCAACCTACGTGGTTAAAATCTTCCTGCCGTGGTGCGATATGCTCTCGAACGTCTCTCACTCGATCGAAGTCTCGCTGTATGCAATCGTATACTTTCTACAAAATGATAGCATGAGTACTTTTGTAAGTGTGGATCCATTGATGTTATAACTACATACCTTGGGCAAATCTTCTTTGGTGATGGGTATATATGATTTCGGTATATCTTGCAATGCTGCTCGTACTGTCAATACGCGGCTGCATGAAAAAGACAATGCAAACATAGCCTATTGTATAAGAATGAGTATTGAGGGGAGAGTAAAAGGATCGTTTTAACCTACCAGCACGACGTAGCTAACGACGACGACAATGAGATTACGATAGTCATGAGCACCGGATTCAGTTTGATCAGCCAAAGCTTGAATAATCACGTCTGCTGCTGATAAGGCGACTGCTGCTGCTGTGAGCAGGATAAGGAAGAAAAGCGAGCCTCTGTATATGCAATGCGATAAACGTATGCTGTGCATTGTACGTGAAAGAAAGGCATATGATATTGGTGTACGCATTGGATGTTGGTGCCATCAACGCCCCTTGATCTGTTTCCTTTTTGGGAGAATGTTGTCGGTGGTGAGTCATTTGACCCCAAGGCACTGGCCATCAACTTACCTGTTTCGTGTCTGGTGACCATGTATCCATCAAAACAATCATGGTGCAGAGTGATAGTAGCAAGTGGGTTTCCGGTTTCGCACATGTGCATAATACTGAATATAGTACATGCTACTGAAGGCTATACAAGGCATGATTTACATTAGCACAGCAGCTCTGAGTATGATCCACAACGATACATACATGCACAAATGATAACGTTCGGTCCCTTCTAATGAATGTAGCCATCACAATATTGTAAAACAGTCGCCTTGATAATCCATGAGGATTGAATGCTTCGGGGGATCATGATAGAGCCTAATAGCAAGAATTGTGTTAGCAACATCGTATCGGTACGCCAACTCAAAGGACAATTACATGAAGGAAGAGCCTTGGTGCATGACACAACGAGATGATAGATACCACCTTGTATCATAGCCCTCTAAACCAGTCTGCAATGAGGATCAGCATGAAGGGAAGACGTATTGTCGTCAACCACTTGCCTTTTTACAAGCATAACGTTGCCTTGTTCGAATCGATTGTCTCCATGCCAATGCCAAGTGTGAAAAGGAACGCTGTGGTGTGCGAGTAGGTAGAAACAGCGGATAAAGGAGGTGTTAACCACGCTAAAGCTGTTGCTGATCGGTTCCTCAATGTCAGTTCAAAAGGTCGTGGCATTCACCGTGTATCCAACCCTTACTTTTGTCGTTCAGAATGACCTCGATTGCGTGGATAAGAGATTGCATTGTGGCCTTACTCGATATCCAAGATGAAATACGGAAACAAAGGGACGTCATGCATGGATCCTTAATGCGTTTCAGACAGCGGCAACCCAAAAGCACTGATTCAGAAGCTACGCTATGTTTTCTTTATGCTGTATCGAATTGCGTTTAGTCTATTCCATCATTGCTTACATACTCATTCGTATACGAGAAGAAATAAATGGCTATTCAGCATCATTGTGTGATGCTTATTGCTCTTTGTCAACGACATGTAAAAATAGTAATTGGATGATGAAATCGCCAACAACATCGTACATTCCCTCCTTATGCTAGTGATATACACGACACCAGCTCCCCCAAAAGGATCGTAATGTTCCTTAATTTCATTACTGTAACACCGAATCCGAGTGTATTGACGGAGGTGGTTTGCCATTTTTCGGTTCAAGAGGTATGATCCAATGATCCAAGGTCTGCCAACAAGAACCATGTAAGGTGGATGACAATAAAAATGATATGCTTAAAGGTGAAAATCATCTTAAAGACAAGAACAAGGCGTGATTGCTTGCAAGCTAACCTTACACGTGGAAGCATTTCTTGATGGATCGCTGTATCAATGTCTTAGCGTATCGGCAAAACAATTTTGGGTGATGTAAAGCTTGCCAATTATCAGGTATTTGGTCAAGGTGTCAATGTGCAAGGTTGCGTTGTACATGCGTGATTACACACTGTGTATCATGCGAGCTTGTTTTCTTCAACAACATGTTGTTGGAGAAGACCTGGCTTGTACCATGGGAACTTTGATGAGTGTTTCAGTGGTTAGGTTTACCCGCGTTTCCACAATGTGATCAAGTTCGAGCTATCTATGTACATAGCTGCTTAGAAAGGAGAGCAGTGGGTGATTCCTGTGTGTGTGTGTGCGTGTGTGAGGTTAGTGGCATAATATTACGTGTATGGAACTGAAAATCAAAGCCGTTGCATTGAAATAGGGTCGTGGGAACAACTGCATAAAGGACATCTCTTTCCCTTTTTCTTACTTTCCCACATTCTTCTCTCCTCCATCACTTACTGCTATCAAGATAAACAATGCCCGTCCGAATCATTGCTTTGCAACGTAACCTTCTCAACCGTGCACGCTTCTATTCCACTGCAGGTAATATCCATGATTAAGCACATGCCTAATAATGTCACTCACATGCATTTATCCATCTAGTAAGCTTAAAAGATTGCTCAATAGTTTATCTCGGCAAGCGACATCTTACTGATTGAATCATCTTTTAGAGCAAACAAAATACAATTGGATTGATTGGTCTCGGCCAAATGGTAAGTTACCTCGTTTATTTGCTTGTTATCATATATAACAGCTCCTAATGTACCTGATTTTTAGGGCTCTGGTATGGGCAAGAATCTTGCACTCAAGACCAAGCCTGGTACCTTGCTTGTATATGATGTCAACAAGGCAGCTGTTGAGCGCTTCGTGGACACCTTTCCACAAGCCAAGGCTGTTTCGGATCCCGGGGAAATGGCCGAGAAAGCAGGCACCGTGTTGACAATGTTACCCGAAGCCACTCACGTGGAACAAGCTCACAAGGCTCTATGGGATGCACTTGATGAATCCAGTCTTTTGGTGGATTCAAGCACTATTGCTGCTGAGGAAGCACGTCGATTGTCCAAAAAAGTGATGGATGCAAAGAAGGGTACTGCATTTGATGCACCCGTGAGTGGAGGTAAGTTTACTATAAAAATAACTTGTTGATGGCGTTTTCCTTTAACCTATGTTTCTTCAGGGGCTGTTGGAGCTGATGCAGGCACCTTGACGTTCATGGTGGGTGGACCATCAGTGGAAGCCGTTGAAAAAATCAAGCCTACATTATCATTAATGGGTCGTAATGTCGTCTATTGTGGTCAAAATGGCACAGGTCAAGTAGCCAAGCTTTGCAACAATATGCTTTTGGCAATCTCGATGGCAGGTGTATCGGAAGCAATGTTGTTGGGTGCACGTTTAGGCATGGATCCTCTTTTGTTGGGCTCCATCATCAACAACTCAACAGGTCGCTGCTGGAGCTCTGATACCAATAACCCACATCCTGGTGTTGTTCCCACGGCACCCGCTAGCCGTGATTATCAAGGAGGCTTTAGCACTCATCTTATGGCTAAGGATTTACGACTTGCAATGAAGTCCGCTGAGGACTCTGCAACAAACCCTGTGCTCGGTACCATGGCCGCCAAAATGTTCAATGACTTGGCAAAGACGGATGAATATGGCAAGCTGGACTTCTCCAGTGTGTACAAGGTATGATGATTACATAACAACCTTCACTTTTATACTCACAGCACTTGTAATTCCCCCACAGTGGATGACCAAACAGCATTCGTAATCGAACAATATTCTTCTATTATATGCTTGAATGTTTTGTGCGTAATAGTAATAAAACAAGCAGTAAATCTTATGTACACAAAATAGACGAAAGAGAGAAGTATGTACAACGGAGGAGGAGAAAAGGGCTTGTGTATCTTGTGTGTGCGTTGTATGGATGCATGTGAAGTTTGATGTCGTGCGTGTTGATGGTATTCGAAAAAAAGGCGGTGGGAAAAAAAGTGACGGATATCAAGCAACTTGACAAGTCATCCCCAGCACCACCATCCGTATTCAATAAGAATCCTTAAACACGCAAAAGACTCTTGTCGACGCCATAAGCAGGTTCACGTTGGTCGAGGAACCACTTAAAGTACTCGTATACGCTCCAGCTGATAGCAGCACTTGGCATGTTTGTAAGGACACGAGGCTTGTATCCTCTAAAGAAGCCGCTGAGTCCATGACGCTGTTTGATGATAGTCATGGCATCCCAAAAACCGGTAGCATTGCGAATACGAGGATCAGGATTATGACCACGAGTTTGAAGTAGAGTCTTAATCACATCCAAAGGCGTGGTGAGGGATGATGCTGTAGCACCTGCCAATGCACCAGCAATAGCATGTGTCTTTGGATCGTATGCGCCATCAGGGTTAAAGTATTTACGAAAGTACTCGTACGTGGCAAATTGGATAGATTGGAATGGCACCGACATAGCAAGGGTGGTAGGGAGAGAAATGTAAAATGCACCAACACCTTCCTTAGCTAACACGCTGCGTGCACATTCACGAACAGAGGTGAATGTCGAGTCGCGGAGCTGCATCCGTTGCTTTACGACTGGGCAAATAAAAATTTGTTTCGGTCAGCTTTTTTTCTCCGTGAATGATATCTGATAAAGCTACACACTCACCATCAAAAGGGGTCATTAGGGTATCATGAGCAAGTGTAGCACAAGCGCCTGCTGCTGCAAAGCTCAAGGTATGGTTGCCCTGTTCTTCATCAGCTCCCAACTTCTCCTTGACATACTCATAGGTAGCAAAATGAAGTGCATGAGCTGGGCCTGCACCAAGAAGAACAGAGTTGACACCACGCCAAAGATTACGAGAGGCTGCCTTAAAGCCAGGGTATACGGTAGGTGCAGGTCGAGTACTTTGGATTACTTGCATTCGTGTCTAATGATAAATGCCATTAGCTATTGTGCTACGGGCGCGTCACGATGCTGCATTTATCTTTTTTTTACCTTGATGGAATCGACAGGATACATGGCACAGTGTTCAGCTGCACCTGCAAAAGCACCAGCAAGCGCATTTTGCGCCATAGAAGAGTTGCTGCCAAGGCTTTCGTAATCGTATTCTTCAGACATGGTCGATTGTTGTTAGATGGAGTGGGGGGTTTTCAAAAGGCAATGTAGTTAAGAGAGAGTAAGAAAGAAAGAAAGAGCAAGCGAACGCGCTGGGGGAGCGAAAAAAATAATATCCACAACAACAAGGAGTTCTTTATATATAAGCGGTAAGCGGAAAAGATCAGATAAGAGCGGATCATAACGAATTAGGCAGCACAAATACCACCCTACCAACCCCGATTACAAGGCGCTTATCTGCCAATCATATGCCTTCATCAGCACGGCCCTTTTGAGTAATGACATTAGGATTATCCCGTTGGTTTCTCATTTGTGCATCATCATTCCTATCAAATCTTGACACTCATATGCATTTCACAGTTTACAGCAATCTGATGTACATCCTTTGACCACAATACCACTTTACATCCTTTTCCTTGTTATGATTGCATATCCTAAAAGAGGTCAATGGCCATTGCCTCACCTTGACGGTTGTGCCCCAATCATCCTCGTGTGCCATGTGGGAGATTAAGCGGCCCGAAAAAGGACAGCGATGGCATGCAAATAAAAAAGCATATTAAGCTTCCCGCCATTGTTCTCATGTATGTGCATCAGTACAACGAAAGGGTCAAGTTGAGCACACCATCCATTTAATCTATATTTCTCGCACGTACCAAAAGAGAAGGAAAGCACCAGCGTATTCAGCAGTAAAAGTTGTAGCACGTTGCATTCGCATCACAGACACACATCAAGCATGTTTGTGTATCCTCTATCTAATCCGATAATTGATTTCGGGGGCCGCAAGTGGTGGGGAATCTCGGATGTCGGCTTTAGGCATTCCACTAGCCACCTTTTCTCTTGTTTACTCAATAGCCCAATCACACGGATCTGATAAGTGTTAATGTTTGTCATTGACTATCATCCTCAAACATCAGATAATGCTTCACCCTGCCCCCTTGTGATATCCAGCTGATCATTCATTTTCATATCAATGTCATCTTTCATATGTCACAATAATCACAGGACACACCATTACCACCCATTCCACTGTCATTGCTTAGCATATCCATAGTAGTAGAAAACATGCTGAAAAGTCATTTCTGGAATGATGACGAAAGCTTGCTTATTATAGAGAATAAACTTTAATCACTATGTGGTGGAGAAATAACATGATGGTGGAGGAATGGCTATGAAGCAGTGGTACCAAAAGACGATGTTGTTACTGTTGAGGTATCCAAAAAGATGCGTGTATGCTGTGGGGTGTGGTTTATGCGATGGGGACGAGTTCTCCATTGAGAGTGCCATTGTTGGGTGCTGGGTCAAGGTTGAGGATCTTGGCAACAAATCCATAGACTTCAACATTGAAAAACGGTGCAACGATTGTGCCTTTGCTGTACCATTGATCTATTCGAGGACCACGTGCCATAAAGATAGCTCTCATTTCCATGGCAAGGTTGTCGTATCCATGGATACCCATCGGTCGGTATGGCTTTCCAGAGGTAATGTTGTAATCCTTATGAGAGATGATCGAGTAGCCGACATCAGGGATGGTGACGATGGGTGCAATACGTTCAGTACCACGATAATGGAATCGTTCGGGCACATCTTCTCGAAGATACACTTGAAAGTGGGCATCGTCTACGCTTTGGGTATAGTTGTAAAGCTCCTCGTACACTCGATTGACGGTGTCTTCAGGTGCATCATCTTTGGGTCGAAGACTTAACAATGGCCATGCCTCACGTTGTCGTAAATGCGATAGTGTCTCCTTGGAAAGAATGTCCTCATAAAATATCAATCTTGATTTGTCCGTTTGAGCCATGCCATGGTCGCTGACCTATGTTTTTCGATGAGTCTACATAGTCCAATGGCTCATCCCACCTTTCATACTCACAATGACAATGTTGACATGTGAATCCAAGTTTCTCTCCTTGAGCCCTTTCAGCAAGAAACCAACGGCATCATCCATTTGAGTCAATACACCATTGAGCTATATCCAACTTGTCGTCAACAATGACGTGTTTGCAATCATTCATTCCTTTGTTACCTGGCCACCTTCAGGACCACCACCATGTCCTTTTTGATCCACTTGGGGCACATAGATTGAAATCATTTGGGGTCGCTCTTCAAATGGCATGTCAAGCCATCCTAATGCTGTCTCCATCTTGTGTTGCGCCGTGATGCCACGTTCATAATCAACAAAGTAATCGGGTTCAAACTTCGGCACTGGAGAACCGGGCCACATGATTACAGCCGACTTGCGTCCTTGAAGTTTGCTTGTTGTCCAAATCTAATATCGCTACATGAGCTCACCAAAAGAAAAGATGATGTACATAATACATACGGGTTCACCACCCCACCATCGAGATTGTGAGCTGATTGCGGGTCGTTTGTGAATGAACATGGATTGTAGCTGGGGATCATAGAATTCATTGCCGACGATGCCATGCGCTTCAGGATATAGACCAGTGGCGAGTGTCCAATGATTGGGAAATGTGATAGACTATGCATGCACAAAATATTCTATCAATTTTTTGGATATGTATGATAAGCCGTGATATTTACCGGAAAAGAAGGATTCATATACTCTGCACGGATACCTTGGGATGCTATTGAAACAAACTAAATTAGTGATTGTGGCGATGATGATATGAATCAGAGATAAACAACTTGCCAAATTGTGAAAGATGAGGAGTGACATTGCGGTTGAGATAGTCGTTTCTGAAGCCATCCAAAGAGATCAAAATCAGCGTCGGGGCAAATTGATGGGTGCCATTGGAATATAAACGTTCAACTGGTCGCATATGCTCTCCATGATGTCCAACAGCCATCACTGATAGTTTCAGGATCAAGAAAAGCAGACCAATACCAATGCCAATGAATGCGAATCGTAAATGATACCATATACTCTATACAGGGTATACAAGTCATCAATACAAGAACATAAAGTACATCCATACACTCGTTACCTTTTTATGTTGAAGTTGGTGGTGGTGTGGCTCTCCCAACTCTTCGTCGTCAAAGTCTTCGTCGACATCCCAAAAACCACGAGGTCGTCTTGTTGAATTGTTGTTTTCCTTCTCGAGAAAGTGATCTTGTTCCGAGTAATCTTGGCTGATCAAGTGCTCTTCTTCTTCGTTCATGTTGCGACGAGTGCGTAATGAAAGTGAAGAGTCGTTGCGGGAGGAATAACCTGCAGGAAGGGGCACCATACCAGAAAAAGGGGGGTAATATAGTGTGTGGTATTGTTGTATGACAGCGCGCCTGTAACGGAAAAAGAAAGATAAAGATGGCGAGAGAGAGAGAGAGAGATGGCGTTTCGTCTCCTTGCCATTCTCTCTCTTGGGTCTACCATAAAAGGATCTGCATGAGCCTTCCTCGAGGCTTGTTTGTGCAACTTAGCCCACCCATCCCATACTTGAAGCATCATTTATCAATCCTGCCACTGATATTCCAGAGTCATATGGTATCATGCAAAAGATGTCTTTATGCGTGTTGCATTATTAAAATGCTCATAGAAAGACGCCATCATCGCCATCATTGCTATTACTACTACTAGTCGTTGGATATTGCTGCCTAAACGCGTCCACGTTGCTACCCACTTCTCGTGCTGCTGCTTCTCCTAGCCGTTCACGGATCACCTTGAGTGTAAGGTCAATACGCGCCTCGTAACGTTGTATGAGTGATTCGTTTTCTGAAATGGCTGCCAAGAGATCGTTGTCTTTGCCTTCTGGATCATAGTCTCGCATCTCCCGATTGGAGCGTAACAAGTGCTTTATGGAGTTTTGTACTTGAGGAATCTCGGTCAGGAGTGTGTCATGTGGCAATTGTTCAAGGGCTTGTTCCAATCGTCTCGTATCCATGTGGAAGTGTGTTATAGGAAGAGGATAAGATCAAGGCCCGACAACTCGTCTGTTGCAGGATAAGAAATCCCACCCCACTTGCAAGCTGAATGCCTCTCATACGTCTGTGTTGATATGTATGTACCCATACTCTAAATCTGTGCAGGGCATGGATCTCCCTCCTCTTGACCCTAAAGATCGTCCCTCCTTTTGCATTCTTGTACCAATAAATCATGCGTATGGAAACACATGTCGTGATCACGTATGCCAGATAATTAGACCAAGCGGCGTCTGGCGGTCAATCCATGACTTTACTTGTCTCCTTGGGCTTAATTGATTTTGCTTTCAAGATAGGCTAGCGGCATGAAGATGCATGACCCAATCAATATACACACTTGTCCTCCTCCTGAATTTAGCTAATAAGAATATATCAACCCGTCGCTCTCCTTGTATCTTCATTACTACTCTCTCTGTTGTGCTCCCTCCCTAGTAGCTATCACCTGTCATTTTGTAATATCGCTTCTTTTACATCATGTCAAAAGTATTCTCTACTATAAAAGACATAAAACGATATCAACCACGTTGATTGTGTCGATGAAAATGAATGAGAAATGAAGACATGTCAACTTTCACATATGCATAATATGCATCCGCATCTAAATGATGAAGTGTGGCGGGTTGCAGAAATACTCAATGTCGGGAGAATGCACACAAAAAGCATAACTGCGATGCAGGGGTGAAAGGGGTCTTTGCCTCGATTATATAAAGAATCATTATCTGGTTTTCTTTGTCGTTGTAGTACCATTCAAAATATTGATACAAAGAGCCATGGTCGGCAGTACAGCTAAAACAATGGCACTGGTCGCCACACTCGTCGCTAGTCAATTCGCCTCTGCAGCTATTATAGCACCAACCACCACTTCCTCCCCTGGTGTCATCACCCTCGACATGAAGCGTGAACGGCATCCATCCCTTCTCAACATTATCAATGAAGACGTCGTTCCTGCTGTGAAAGACACTCTTCATTCGGTCACAACCTCTCTTCTTCGAACACCGGAGTCCCTCTTATCTAAAAACAAGCGTAGGCAATCGGCACAACGACGATCTGCTGTATCTAAAAGGGAATCTTCGCAGCTTTCGAATACCCTTTGGAGCGTAAGTGGATGATAAAATCTCATGCTGGTACTTCTTTAAGCTTTTGCTTACACACACCATGATGCCTTTTTATAGTATGTCATCACACTTGGCATGTAAGTGGTGTCATTGTTTTACGATTCAATCATTTGAATGTCATGCTAACACTACTGCTACTGAAGTGGTACACCTGAGCAAGAATTCAAAGTGATATTTGATACTGGTTCACCCTTAATATGGATTCCATCCAGCAAATGCGATGATAATTGCCCAGGAGCAACCAGCCGATTTGATATTAAAAAGTCGTCTTCTTGCCACCCTGATGAATCCAATACTTTAGACGTCGAATACTTAGCTGGCAAAATCAAAGGCGATGTTGTGCGTGATACTGTATCGTTTCAAGACAAGAAAATAACCAACCAGCCGATTGGCGTGGCTACTCATGTTGTCCAAAACATGCTCAGTGACGGCATTAGTGAGTTGAACGATACAACACAGGAATGCTATCATATGATCACATCTTGCTCATTATGATGTTTTTATATAGATGGACTTGTTGGCTTTGCACCCAATAGTGGAACGCCTGATTTCAATACGAGTATGTACTACTATGCCTTTCAATCCATCTACTTTTTATTGATAATGCTATCTACGCAGAAAACCAAACACTGGTGACACCAATGGATAACCTGGTCGCTCAAAAAGTGATTGATCAAAACATCTTTAGCGTGCAATTCAAACCCATCAAAGAACCGGAAGACATAGGAACCGTAGGGGGCAAGTTGACGCTTGGTGGCCTTCCACCAAAAGATTCCTACAAGGGTGATATCCAATGGCTTCCTCATATACAGGATGATGGTTACGAGGTATGTAGATACACCATAAGCAATTTAATCTACAACATGGTATTCATTATCATTTTTCTTATAGGACTATTGGTCCATTCCAATGAGCCACATGATAGTGGGCGAAGACAATGAAGAAATTCATGACAAGGAGGAGGACGAACTAACCGGTATCGTTGACACGGGAACAACATTGATTGTGCTTAAACCAGACATGGCCAAGGAATTGTACAGCCATATCCCAGATGCCAAATACAATGAAAAGCTTGGTGTGTGGACGTTTCCTTGCAAGGCGGTCAAATCATTACCTACGCTATCCTTTGTGTTTGATAAGAATCAGCAGCCGTTGACATTGTCTCCAGAAGAATATACAGTTCCATCATGGCAATCCAGGTATTGGGGTGCACCTGAAAACCTTTGTCCATCTTATATTATCGGTGACTCTGTGGATGATGTTGACTTTATCATTGGACAAAAGTTTCTCGAACACTACGTATCCGTTTACGACGCAGAGAACAATCGAGTCGGTTTTGCTCGCAACGCATAATGGCATTTTAGAATAGTATTATGTGCTTTTATATGTATCAATTATAAAGCCACTGCAGGAACAGTGGCATTATTTATTAGATAAAAGGATGATGATGTTGTCTATTTTTTTCATGATCTCATATGTGATGAACCTATACGTATTTCAGATGCAGGCATGCGGTGGGTTGATTGTCTCCGATCCATTATGCAAACATGTACATCTGAAGCAGACTGCTGGAGACGAGGTTCTCAAGGATGCTGATGATGGGAAGGTTTGGGAAGGATGCTGATAATGGCAAGGCTGTCCATTCATGGGAAAGAAGCGATGAGGATGCAAGAAAGTAACCTGTTGAAAGGTGCCATTTAAGGATATCAAAGTGGGGAATTGCAACAAATCCATTACCTCTTCCTTCTTCACTCCCGACAACATGGTGCTATACGAGGAACTTTGCGACGCTCATTGCCACCCGCACGACGATGCCGACAATCGCTCAATGATCCCACAGCTCAAAACGGGTCACATTACACTAATGGGTGTTCGCCAAGACGATTGGGATACAGTTGCTCAAGTTGCCAAGCAATGCCCTAACAACAAGTGCATTCCTGCATTTGGTGAGCCCAAGAACATGTTGCGTGAAAAGCTATCAACTTATACAAGTGCGTTTGAGGTTTACACCCGTGGTTTTTGCACCGTGTGATGGTTGACGACAAGGACAAAGAAGCCCACTATGACGCCGTATTGACATCCTCGAACGAGAGTGAAAAGAGCGAGATGATCAGTGCTTTGGATCCTCCTTTTCCACGCGATGAATGGTACAACAACCTGAAGCAGCACTTGGAAGCACATCCTGAAGCGATCGTAGGTGAAGTTGGGTTGGATCGGGCAGCAAGACTACTTCCTGGAGGTGCTATTGAATGGCATGGTGTCAAACCTACGTCGGTGCAATGCACGATAGAGCATCAATTACAAGTATTGGAACTTCAACTGCAACTTGCCAAGGAACTCAATCGACCCATGAGTGTTCATTGCGTACAAGCTCAAGGCCATCTTCTCGCCCTTTTACAAAAACACGCCAAGAACAATCCACCTATCCGTTTATGCCTTCATTCATTTGGTGGATCACCAGGGACACTACCACAGTTCATGAAGCTGAAAGGGTACACCATCTACGTTTCGTATTCGATTGCTATCAATGAGCGACTAGGAAAGAAACTCGACGATCTGATATTGGCAGTACCACACGATCGATTATTGATTGAATCGGATCTCAACACTCCCAAGGGTCAAGATGATGCCATGGTTGCTATTGCTGAAAGAGTTGCTCACGTGCATAATTGGACCATCGATCAAGCTATCAAGCAGACTCATGAGAATTGGTGCAAGTTTATTGGTATACGATAATCACATAGAATACGGCTGTTGGACACAGATGATAGAGTATAGAGTAGAATGATGAATGTTGTTGTTGGATAAAGTCATTAGTGATTTTCTTCTTGATTTCTATATACAAAAGAGATGGCATTAGAGAACTTCTTCTAGAAAATGTAATCTTGAAATTACCTTTGATTTCCTGCATCGATTCGAGGTTTTGCATTCTCATCAAAGATCAGCTTTTCTTCAAACAATTCGACATTGCCACCACCTGGCTGATGCTTGAGATTGTCCAATGAACCCACTTTGCTTTGGGCACTCTCATATGACAGCCTTTCATCAAATACTTTGACATCACCACCACCCGGCTTGTGTTTAATGTTGTCCTTGCTTCCAACCTTGGATGTGGCTGTATCATAGGACTGGGGTTCATCGTATATCTTGACATCGCCACCACCTGCTTTGTGTTTAATGTTATCCTTGCTCCCTACTTTGGATTGGGCTTCATCATACGACTTCTGTTCATGATAAATCTTGACATCACCACCACCTGGTTTATGCTTAATATTGTCCTTGCTACCGACTTTGGATTGGGCTTCATCATACGACTTTTGCTCATGATAAATCTTGACATCACCACCACCGGGCTTATGCTTAATGTTATCCTTGCTGCCGACTTTGGATTTTGCACCATCATACGATCGTCGTTCATGATAGATCTTGACATCACCACCACCGGGCTTATGTTTAATGTTATCCTTGCTGCCGACTTTGGACTCTGCATCCTTATACATTCGAGGCTCATGATAAATCTTGACATTTCCACCACCAGGTTTGTGTTTGATGTTATCTTTGCTGCCGACTTTGGACTTTGCATTGTATGTAAGCTTTTCATTAAATAGCTTTACATTCCCACCACCAGGCTTGTGTTTGATGTTATCCTTGCTGCCAACCTTGGATTGGACATTGTATGTCACCTTTTGCTCAAACAACTTGACATTGCCACCACCAGGCTTGTGCTTGATGTTGTCTTTGCTGCCAACCTTGGATTGTGCATTGTAGGTCACCTTTTGCTCAAATAGCTTGACATTGCCACCCCCTGGTTTGTGTTTGATATTATCCAAGCTGCCTACTTTGGACTTTACATGGCTGTTTTTGGACGACGTGGATGAAGACGAGGATGACATGGTAGACGATACGGGTGAACGTGGTGAAACAGCAGGAAGAGAAGGAGAGGAAGGACTACAGTTAAATGCAATGTTCTGCCGGATATACATTAAAGAGGCTTTTTTGTTCTCTCAAGGAACAAAAAGAGCAACGACAACAATAATCGATGCAACGTTCCTTGATTTATCCCCCTCATTTTCTCTCTCACTCCATCCAACCATCGTTATAAAGCCTTACCTATAGTCGGGTTTTCTGTTTGAGGAAGGTAAACTCTTTGTACGCGTCAAGACACGTGGTGGTGCTATTTAAGCATAAAGGAAAAGAAAAGGATGGATGAGGATGTGCGTGATTAATGTGGAGAAAGAGCTGGTGTGGGGGTGAGAGAAAGGATATAGGTTACACAATACCTGGTTTGTGCTTAATGTTCTCCTTGCTGCCTACCTTGCTCTTGATGTGATCGTATTTGGGGATAGGGTAGGATGTTACTTTGGTGCTGGAAGACGAGACTGAAGAGCTACCAGTGCTGTTGGCTGCACTGCTTCGGCGCTTGTAATTTGCTGGAATAGCCGGCACCATTGGCGGTGGCGAAGCCGAAAGGGGTAGCCGACTTTTACGAGTCGTCGTAGTAGTAGTAGCAGATCGAGACATGATAACAAAGGTAGGTACACACACAAAGGATGCTGTGGGTTATCGTTTCTTGCAAAAGAAAAAGGAAATGAAAAATGAAAAGAAGAACAAGAGAGAAGACCAGGTGGATGACCGAACGAAAATTAGAGCAATCTCGGCCGTTTAATGTCTCGTGTCACAAGGAACAATAAGCCCGAAACGGATGGTGGTTGTGATCAACGCCTCACCGGCAAAGGGGAGGAGATGCCCATTTGCAAAGGAGGAGGGTTTTGGATAAATAGTCAGTTTGCCAAAAGTCGACCCCTTAAAAAAAGTTTGCCACACACAAACAACTCAATGATATAAACACTGATAGTGAAGCTAGCATGAACACCAGATGTGTGTAACAATAATACACCAAAGCCGTCTTTAGCATCCATCCGTGTCTTGTACTCAAGAAAAACGCGGGAGCTTGTGTGACTAGCTGGCCTGTGCAGCCCACATGGCAAGGGATGAGCAATGCTAGATGATATATTACTATAATCCAATATTCCCTCCTTTTTCTGTCATCTAGACAGCTCACATCAATGCAAAAGCAACCCTCCCTTTGATCGCCATTGTCAATGTCAAGTGCTCATTCGACCCCATACATATGAATGAATAGATCTAAAGAGATAAAAGGAGCGCATGGAAGATGTAAGGTGGTAATGTGTATTGGTAGCAAAAAATATACACAAAGGCTGATTGGCAACAAGACCGGTGGATTGTAAAAGCTACCCATTGCAGCTGTATAGAATATCTCCCAACAAAGATCAGCAATGCAGCTAAGGAAAAGTAGGAGTGGATTCATCAACAAGCTCTTGCACATGCTACTGGCAATGCACACAAGATTCAATTTTTGAATGACGCCACTTGTATACTGCTTCTGTGTGAGACCATTATTAAAAGGACTACCTAGCATTACATTCGTGTAACGTATGTCACATCCCATGAGCCATTGTTCACCAATGTTCTTCCATACACAAGAAGCGGATACAATGAGAGGTACGCTTTGCGTTTGATATATTGGTTCGATGATTTAGGTTAAAGGTTGACAATGTAAAGGGTGGAAGGAATAATGGCATGATGCTAATTATCGAGTGGCAGTAGCTAAGAGATCCAAAGGCCTGAACAGCATCATTTGGCATTCTTTGGGTCGTCTCAAGAAATCGTCAAACTCATGCCAGGTGTAGCCCCGTGACGGATGTTTGCGCAAGGCATCTGCACGTAAACATTTTTCACTACAATAAAGCGATTCCTAAGAGGGGAAGCCATTATTAGAATGATAAGGCAACGTTACATGATGTTGTTGGTGTTCATTGTATATCCTGAAAGGGGATAATGGCACACTTACCGACAATGGTGAAATGGCATTGTCACAATAGGTGCACCAGTTTAGGTCGATTGTTGGATAATCGTTCATTGTCACGGTGGAGATGATGCGCTCTTTGGTGCCAGGTATAATAGCAAGGGTGTGTTAAATGTTGACAGCGAGTGGAGAAGGAACACAGAAAAAGATTCATTGTTGCTGCTCAGTATGTATAAGTGTTTGGGAGATTGCATTTTTACGTCATTTGTTGTAGTCGTCGGTATTGTTGCTTCTTTTTTTGGGACATCCATGATCCAAAGAAGGTACTTTTTTGTATCGTAGATCACAAGATCACATGTGCGTTTGTGGGTCGTCGCGTCTATAAGCCTTGCCTTAACCTTAAATTATCCAATGGGATTTATCATTTCCTCACGAGATGGCCTGTAGCCACTGGATTGGATTTCTCGCAAAGAAAGCCGCTGTTGACTACTACAATCACCCGTGCACATCAACATGGTGGGCGGGAGGTAAATAGATAACTAACTAACAATGATCCACGTTCATTGTAAACACCACGTTGCCGTAAATCCGATGCAATTCTGATGCACGTGGTATGCATTCATGCAAATTCATTTTCAACGTGTGATATGCAGCATACATCGGACATTATCAAAAACAATGACAAAAACAAAGGTGTCAGACTGCATGGTGCACCTCGATCACCCCACGTGGCTTCAAAAGTCACATCAAGGAAGTTGATGGTGTTGTAACGATATAAGCAGGATCATCATCCAATAGCATAGTGGTTGGATTTGCATTTACTTTTTCGATCGATCTTATCAATGCTTATCATGGAAGGTTTACATTCAACGATATCATTCATGTATGCAGGCAATGTAGTCGATACACCAACGTCAGCATCATCATCATATGCATTTTGGAAATGACCCATGCTAAATAAACTCGATACCATTTATGAAAGCGCCTATGTGGACTATCATTGCATGGATGAAGCAATGGTGTGCGTTGCCTAGTCATCAGGGTTAACAGGGCTACGCTTCCAAAAGAGGATTGTGAATTGTTGGCTCTTGCATGAAATTGGTGTAACAATACACGCTGATGAAAACAATCGAGGTAGCCAAAGAACTTACACTCTACCATCCCTCATGTCCTATTACAAGATCCATCTAAACACACATTCTATGAAAAAGTAAATGCATGGGTAAAGGTGAAAGAAGTTTTATGAATTCCAAGCGTGGATATTGAGGATATACAATTGTTGTAGTGAAAAGAATGGAAGGTGGTATCGCTGCACAATGAACAAGAGGTGATGTTGTTGCCTGAAGGGGAAGTGATAACTCATAGCTATGTTTGACGTCGCAATCTTGTGAAGAGTGGGCGAATGAAGCTTCCACGACGTGGATCCGGCATGAACAACCATAATAGCCACATACATGATGATGTCGCCACACAAAATGGTAGCATGGCCTGCACACCCTGTGAGCCGATGAGTACACCGGTAGCGTATGGGAAGACCGCTGTCCCTGCACTTGCAAACTACATAGGTCCAATGTTTGTTAGCTACTTTACAATAGTACCACTTTCCATTTACATACGGCTGATAGGAAACCCACTGCTGTAGCATATAGCTTGGTAGGCATGATTTGATGGGCAACTGAGACTGTCGTAGGGAAGATTGGTCCAAGCGTGAATCCCGTTACCACGAGTGCTTTTTATCATGGGTCATTAATGAGCTTGTTGTCTTCACCAACTATCAGCATTATCACTCACCTGTTGCATTTGCTCCAATGTAAGGGATCAACCATAGTAAGATCAGCATGGCAACGATGATAGTAAGATAGACGTACACCATACGCTTTTCTCCAAATCTTGATGTGACGAATCCAAGGAACAAGCGTCCTGCACAAATACCAGCCCAATACCCTGACATGACGTGTGCCATAGCTACTGTGTCCGAGCTGCGTGCTGTGATAAGAAACGTGTATCCCCAATTGCCAATAGTAACTTCGGTGCCGGTGTAGAATAGTAGAAAAGCACATCCCACGTAGCATATGCGATAGTTGAGCACCTGCGACAACAAGTTGGGTTCTTTTGCTTTGCCATCCAATGACTCGATATCATCCTCGGTTGACGATACAACGGTTGGACAAGGGCTGCCAATGCTGTCGTGATCATTGTTGCTCTCATTCTGCAGCTGCTTCTCGGCTAAAGCGGCATCGGCTTCGCGCTCTGATCGGATACGTAGCTTGCGATAACAAATCAGGATTGACAACGTGTTGAAGCCAGCGAATCCACACATGACCTTGTATGATGTGTTCCATGGCTGACCTTGGGCAAGAATGGCGGAAGCAAGAAGAGGACCGATAAGGCCACCCGCACCATAGAATGCTTTTGAATGGGGAAAATTGCCAACTCAGCCATGAGATCATTGCATTACTGATTGATCCGCTTACCATGCAAAAAGCTGAGCATGAGCGTGTTGTGTGGCATCTCACCACATACAACATTAGAACTAGCTTGTGTAAGAGCAACGCCAAATCCAACAGCAACCATAAACACGCACATGACGGGGAATGGCAACGCAAAAAGGATGACAAGGAAACCAAGCACCATGGAGATCGATCCAATTAAGGCCGTTTTAGCTTGAGAAAGATACTTTATCAAGAATCCATTGGATACAGCAGCTACTCGTACAATTGTAAATACATGTATGTGAGAAGAATAAAGGCGCTATCTTACCCATCATGTAACCACACGTGTTGCATAGAAAGATGATAGAGACGACGTATTGAGATAATCCATAATGCGCTTTGATGCTTGGTAGCATGATGCCCAATTGGCTATCATTGACACCAGTAATAAATTGAATAAAGAAAGCCTGTATCATTGGTAAAAAGTATGGCTTGATCGTTTGCCAACGCTCCATCCAGCTGCGTTTATGTATATGAGATAGTGGTGGTGGTGGTGGTGGCGGCCCATCAGCACATTCGGTAGCACCATTCGGCAAGGTTGATTTATCATCGTGCATCATCATCTCAGCAGGCGGTAGTGGTGCACAAGAATGTGAAGGTAAATGCTCAATTGTGGGGATCATTGAAAGAAGAAGCGAAAAACCAACGATCGAGTTAAATGATGGATCGATACAGAGCGAGCTTAGGCTTTTTAAATGTACGTGGTGATGGGTGGATTGTTTCCGTGAATCAAGTATTCGTAGATAATTATGGTATAGTAACTATGCTACTGAATTCCCCGCCGATTCCGGACCATGATCTTTCCCTGAAATGGCAGATAACGATTGAATTTGACTTTATTCCGTTCTAAGAGTGTACAAACATTGGTACATGTGTATATAGGGTGCCTCATATTGGCTCATGTAGATACGCAATTGGTGCGCTTTCGTCGCTTGGACCACATTCATAATACCAATTGAGAAGTCAAGCATAACCTTAAGCATGGATTTTGCCATAAGCGATGTATTTTGGCATGTATTGTTGCATACCATGATATGTAAGTTTATTTGCTAGCACTTCTCATCCCCCCATAAATCAGTTAGCAAAAGCTCTTTTTGCCAAGGTCATGCTTGATCGGTTAATTGCAGCAGCCGCGGATCACTAGGCACCAATACGAGGATGATACACCCGATCATCACTATTTGGAATCGTCGTACAAGTCATACACTCGGTTTAAAGGTCAAACTCTGAGCTGGGTGTTGCAAGGAGGGGGATACAAAGATGCATTGCCTCGCTGGTTATCTTCAAAGGTATGAAGTATCCACCAATTCTTGTATAATAGATTCAAGGCAAGATACGCATGATCGGTAATGGTATCATTGTCAGCATTAGGAGGTAGAATTATATCCGTTTGCTTGTCTAAACGCATACAAACGCCATTCTCTTTGTTTATTTCAATAGGATCCTATAGTGCCTTTTTTTCGTGCATGCCGGGACCAAAGGTGCTTGATTGGCTTCTTCTTGTTACTTGAAACAGGTGTTGTGATTCCCCATGCTTGTCTAATAAGGCATCATTTGCAATCGTTTTAGTAAGCAGCCTCTACCAATCCGACGAGCTGGTAACGTGTATCACGATGCATACAATGTTAGATTCACCAATGCCAGTATTACATGTGATATCCATAATGGGGGTTGTTCTCAATTGACTTGCTGTGGTATGTCGATCACTGTGCTATCATAAAGAGATATCACCATCTTGCAGCATCTGATACGTAATTGCGCTCTACCACGTACTAGCTTCATGTATAATGCCACATCTGCATTTGCGTTTGCATCATTCTTTTACCCAACGCATGTCTGCAACTCCACCATTATTACTTCTTGCTATCCATGTAATGATGAATGGTGAGTGTAAGGCACCATGCTTTATTCCAAAAGATCCATTTACATACATTCTCTTATTACACTTGCTCGTTTTTATGTTGATCCTATTGGTATGGGAGGCTATGGATGGCAAGGTGTGGTGCTAGTCCTTTGAGCTGTATTCATGCAAACAAGTCAGCGGTGATTGTGTTGCATTATTGTGACGTGAGCATATCCCCGACGATGTGCAACCCAATGTCTCCCTTTCTTGTGAGAGTGCGCGTCTCTTTATTCAACAACACAAGGCAATGACACTACGCATCGCAACCCAACGACTATTCAGAACACGATTGGCAGCACAACGACCCATGTTGATGGCGACTTCAGTGCGTGCAGAGTCGACATTGAATACTGGCGAGGTGCTTGAAGATCCTCAAATTGGAGATTATCCCAACTTGCCACGCTACAGTGCGCAGACACGTGGACCCTATGGCTGGTGGGATCCTCAAGACAAGCGTAACTTTGGCGAGACCGTAAGCCTTGTCATATCACTACATGGATAACGTGTTACTTACAATGACCTTGTTCTTCTTTAGTTGCACGAGGAAGATGAAATCTTTGGTGTATGGGCGCCTGATCTGTTTCGTGATGATCCTTGGATGGCTTTGGGTCAACTTGGTCTCTTTTCAGCTGCTGTAGCTGGTTTTTCGTATTTTATTTACAAGACGCATCCTGCTCGTCCAGCGGTATGTATCGTTTTTCCCTTTACTACATGCAGCATCACTTGCAGTGTGTCGCATCTCTTGTGTGACTATTGTCTTATATGGATTAACCCTGTAGGCCCAACGCAAGTATCCTTACGATGGCCTCAAAAAAGAGTTAGGTGGACGTGACAACGACGTTAGATCGCCTGGGGTAAGAGCTTCTTTCTTATATAGTGGGAAAAGGGGGGAGATGGATGGATGGATATGATGTTTGAGGGGGGGAAGGCCAAGCCAATAACGACATGATCTGCTTATTGACAACCTGAATCATTTAATAGGCTCGTCCCGACAATGGAGAGTGATGTCAAGATAGTATGTAGCTTCCGACAAACAGCAAAATGAGCGCAATTTGCAGCAATAAAGCAGCAGCCAAATCGTATGTGACTATATCGATAACAACGTACACAAAAGGAGGGGAATGGAAGAACAAGAAAAAACGTTTCCAGTAAGAAGAGAAAAGAGCGTGCGGATGGAGTGTATTGTTCGAGAAGAAGGGGAAAAAAGGCAGTGGTCGAGGGAGGTGTTACGTTATCATTTGAGGATTTGATACTATTGGCTGGAGAATGTCAAATGGGTTGCCCTGAGAGGTCGTGGAGGTGATGGCTATTCGGACATCGGCAGGATCCAAAAATTGTTTCCAAGGAAGAAACTTCTATCAAGCAAAGGGCACATATATATACAGACACACTAGGTAAAAGCTTCTGGGGCGGAAGAAAAACACACTCCCTCTTTCTCTCTCTTCTTTTTCTTTGTTCACTTCTTCTTTCGTCTTTCCCTTTTTTGACACAATACACATAGTCAACATGAAAATCATCCCTATTGGTGTTCTCGAAGACAACTACTCGTATATCCTGATTGACGACAAGACGAAAGAAGCCGCTGTCATTGACCCGTAAGACATGGTACACAAGAAATAATATTACAAATGATACTGAAACCACCGGTTGCAGGGTTGAGCCTATCAAGATTTTGAACGTGATCAGTCAAACGGGGGCGAAACTATCCAGGTAAAATCATAGTTGTTTTTGTTTGTGTCAATAATCACAAGCCCCACGATCAACAATATTTACATCCCCTTGTTTTGTCAATAGTGTATTTATCACACATCACCACTGGGATCATGCTGGCGGGAATATTGAGCTTGTTGGTAAGGATTCTATTATCGGCAAAACGGTGATGTGCGGGGGACAAAAAGTGGGAATCAAGGATCCAAGTGACACAACCAACCACATGCCGATTCATTCACACACATACCCAAACATGATACAATAGCGAAAAAACCCGGCCTTGCAGTATATGGTGCCGATGCCCGCATTCCAGAGATCAACTATGTATGCAAAGATCATGAAGAATTTAAGCTTGGATCACTTGAAATCACACCATTACACACACCTTGCCACACCAAAGGCCACGTATGCTACTATGTTGTCGATCCTGCTACAAACGAAAAGGCCGTCTTCACCGGCGAGTATGTATCTTCAAAGGAAGGATGAGAGAAAGGTTGCGAGAGAGAGGAAAAGATGGAGAAGAGGCTTGTTGTATCATGTTACCCTCCTTATTAATGCATTACGCATAGCACTCTTTTCATTGCCGGAATTGGAAAATTCTTCGAAGGTGATGCACGGGACATGTACCGAATCCTCTTTCATGTTATCACAAAGCTTCCTGATGATACTTGGGTCTATTGTGGTCACGAATACACAAGAAACAATCTCAAGGTATTTATAGCTTTGTTGACATTGCATATCACATTTCAGTGTTGCTCACCTGACAATGGATGTTCGCCTTGCCCAATTAGTTTGCGCTTACAGTGGAGCCACAAAATGAAGCATTGATGGCGAAATGGGCCTGGTGCCAAGATAAGACCATCACTGTACCGTCAACCATCGCACAGGAGAAGATGTACAATCCTTTCTTACGAGTCAACGAGCAATCGCTTCAAATGTTTGCAGGCAAAACAGATCCAGTTGAGACGTTGGCTACCTTACGAGAGCTCAAGGATGCTTTTCGATAGAAATCACGTTTCTTCCTACGCCATTATCCACACCATTAAGCTCGCATTCACCATCACATCCACACAATCCTACGCGTTTCGACCTCATTACTATTATGCATCTCATCCTTTATCTTCCAATCCATCATCATGCGCTCTTTCCAATGTATAGTCTTATTGATATTTTGATATGGAAACAAGATCCATAAATACATTGTCATCCAATTATGAAGCAAAGTCACCATACAGTTGTGAATTAGGGTAGTCGCATGCGCGTTTTGTACAGGGTTTGACACATTCCATTCTTGATCAAAGCCAAGCTAATCGTAACCATAAGTGTATTTTGTTAATAAGCATTACATCGATGCCCTCACTGTGTTCTTGCCTGTGACCATCAACATCAGCTTTGGTATAGCATGCTTCACCTTGCTCCTTTGGCCTATAATCATCTGCCCTTTTCATTTGTTGCCAATCCCCATCCCGATTGGGAGCACAACAAACTCAGCGTAATGTATTTTGCTTATACCCAAGGTTAGCAGCTTCAATAGCTGCATACAATTGATCTGATATTGTAACGGCAAATCAAGTAAGAATAGAAATTGCTTGACCCAGGACGCTGGGTCACCCCATTCATCGCTTCACGCTTGTCCATAAATTTGGCGCTTGAAATTTAACAGGAATTGCCACGCAATAGGCCTTCCGATAATTACCATGGATGTGGTTATAGGAATAGACCCAACGATCGCATTTTGGATGGTTCATGTCATCCATTCTTTTGATGGATCATACGACATAAATTTAGCATTGAGGTCACGATCACTAGATGCATGCTCTGCCAGGCACCTTTATATGGGTAAAACAATAACCCATTTTCGCTCCTCATCCACTTTCCTTTTTGGATCGACATGCAATGATCGTTGCCACGTGTCGTGTCGGCTGACGGATGTGCCGCATAGCACGCGTCAAACTGAGATCCATTCTCGCATTTGCCTTCGCAACCTTTAGAACATGGATCGTATACCCGACGAATCGGTTAACGGAAGGCTCACCGATGACATCCATTACGTGTGTATGCATCACACAGAATATGTGATACGGCGCACAGCGTGATATTGTTGTGCTAATACGCAACAACGAATCTTTCCCCCGCTGACCCTGATTCTGGGGGATCAATGTTTGGCATTGGATTGAAGAAGTCACCAAGAATAGAGCAATCCTCAATGTTACGATATCTAATTTGCTTCGGTTAGGCGGATAATAACATGCACAATCTACCATAGATGTGGGTAGCAAACGACCCGAGACAAAAAAAAATGAATCGAGGAGCGTGAAATTAAAGTTCCCTTCATTTCTTTTCAGAATATGAGCTGGCGACCATTACAAAATGATGTGCATCTTTGTGTCATTTGCTACTCATGTTACACAACAGCCTATGGAGCGATTACATGCTGAAAGAGAAAAAGGAAGTGCAATGGTTTTACTTGTTGGTCGCGTGCTTTCCCACCTCCCATTGCTTTGTCCCATAGTCAATGTCATGCAAGTCTTATAATGTTAACCTTACACGTGGTAGCCTTCATTTTTTTGTCAAAGTGGTGTAGACATGGATATGCGTAAAGCTACGTTTTCAATACCTGGATTAGATCGCCTTTTATCCCACAGAAATACATGCCAACGAAATCTACACTCGAGTTTCTTACCTTCAGCATTGACTCCGATCAACGCGATCGATCCAAAAAGGGAATGGAGGAAGTGGGGTGTTAGCAAATAGGTGGAAGAAAAGGTACCAAAAAGTAGGAAAAAGATCATCCTGCTGGGTGCATATAGCGGGATGCAGCGTAACTGATATGCATTAGAAACCTTTTTCTTCTAGCACAGCACAACCCCGCTCGGCGATAAAAGGCTGTGTCCGCGTCCATTATTGCTAGCATGGCTTCCATGTGTTATTTGTCGCGTGGCGGGATCGGCAAAAGGGGGTTCGAGAGCGTGCCTGAGAAAGAGTACAACTGGTGATATGTTGGTAGATCACACCAGGCTCATTACGACAGTGTCCCTTGCCATGTATCGTATAGGCAACGCTGCCAAAAAGGAAAGCGGGCATTATGGTGCCAAATTCAGAACATGTTACTTACCAGGCAACTGTCAATTAACAGCAACTTCAAGAGCTATGGTTTGCATTTGTCTTTGTTTATTGCGCCGATGCTTTCTGTGCAACCCTCGCATCATTGTGATTTACTTATACCGTGGTGCATTTTCTTGCTGCCCCAATCATTTACTCTCTACTTTTTATCTTCTTTTTTCTCTTTTCTCTGTTTTCGGTGTGTGCACATTACTTGGCCTGTCAATAGTAACCTATCTTCGTCATTTACCATTTACCCATATTATCATCTGTAAGCTACCTCATTTCATTCATTCACCTTGCTTTCAACCATTATCGTGATGAATCTTCCATACATTAATGCATCACAGCCTCATTCCATCCATGCCAATGCTGCCCCTTCTTTCAATATGCCATCATCTATGCCCTTTCTTCCTCCTGATAAAAGCACATCAGCACCTACAATCCCGTCTCATACCCCAAATGAATCATCAGAGCCTCCCAAACCCACAACAACACATAGCACACCAACTCCTCGCAAGCGTACTCGTGCAACGCCTGAACAACTTGCAGTATTAGAAAAGACTTTCAGCACCAATCCAACACCCAATAGCCGTGTACGTGAACAACTTGCAAATGAGCTTGGTATGCCAGATCGCTCGATCCAAATATGGTTTCAAAATCGTCGTGCCAAAGTGAAAAACATGGCGAAACGGTCATCGATGCTTCACAATGAAACGGTGCGTATGCAGTATTACGCAGCTGCAGCTGCATCAGCAGCGTGTCAAGCAGCTGCATTCCATCAACAACAAATGGGATCCAACGACAGAGCTATGAACACCCCTGATCTTTACTACTACTATTATTATTACTATTACAATCAACAACAGCAATATAGACAATACACAGGCAATCATACACCTTCGCCATATGCACCACCACCACCTCCTATGATGGGAGATTTGGGATCGACACCACCACCTCCACCAGCATCCTCTTCAATTCCCACCATCCCACTTCCTCGACATCGACGTGGTTTGAGTGAAAGTGCCACTACACCAAATTGTAGTCCACATCGCTTACGTGCACATTCACTTGGACCCTATCCTTTACCAGCCAACCATCATCATAATAGTCATCACATGTCACGCCCAATGTCTGTGGATCCTTTAGATCCAACCCAGAATCGAAGCAGAAGTTACACATCTCCAGCTGCACCACCATGGCCTGCCTTATATGAACAATCACCATCACCTTTCAACAATGCTGCCCCTGGTAAAGTATATAAACCCTGTGGCCATCTAATTATGCTAATGTATCATCATCATCATCATCCTCTAGCCATTCCATCTAATACTTCAAGTAGTATTGGCAGCAATACCAATAGCGGCGATGTTGATCGTTTTTCAGCCGAAGCTCTTCAAATTGGTACTTGGCGACGTATGACTCTGCAGCCTGAAGATATGGTGTGTAATTTTGATACCCAGCGTCGCATGATGGTGTGGACTATTCGCAATGGTGCACAGCAATTTAAGATGGAATTTCCTTTTGATACCATTCTTCAAATAAGCCTCGAGCCAATATTAGAGCGTCTTGGTTGGGCACGTCTTGAGTTTCGGTTAGCTCAACCTGAAGGTGTTGCCTTTTACATGATGCAGGATCCCACCAGCTATTGGACACAATGCCGCGACTTTACACAAGATAGCCAAGCTACCATTGTGAATATACATCAATTGGATGGACCTGCTATGCCATTGCAAGCTGAGATTCAACGACTCGTCAGCAATGACCCACATCTCCAAACGGTATTTGTAGACTCTTCTACCGAAATGCTGTCATTGTTTGGGAACTATACCAAAGAAGATGATCTCTTGCTTTTTCAAGGAATGCAACAACAATGATGATAGATCGATATATCTTTTATGAATGAATTCTTTATGAATGGACTTTATGCTAGTAAAAAATGATGCCTTTTGTGTGGATACCTCTACTCTATGCGTGCCTCTCACGAATGCCCAAGTATGGCATGTCAATGTTTGCGTAACGAATCATCCCCATCCTTTCACCAGCCGTGATCTCTTCAACATGCCAATAACAACCAAGGTTTATGTCAACAACAATACCACTATGATGTGTCGCCTATTTTCAAGCTACTATTCAACTCCTCCATAAGCAATTCATATTCGTCCATCCACTTTTGTAACTCCTCTTTAGCTGCTGCTTCGGCGCTAACGATCTAACAATGGCACATGAGCTATCGTACAACCTAATTACGCATTGAAAAAAGCACATACCTCCATGTCACATTCATTCAAAGTTGCCTGGATCTCTTTTCTCTGCTTCTCCAACTCCTTAGCTTCCTCGGATAGTTGTCGAACAGTCTTTTGAGCGGCTTCATGCTTCAATGGGTAATTGTCGTTGAAGATAGCTAGTTGTTCTCGTTCCTTTTCTTGTTTGGTTGCCAACAGGTTCAGGCTACGTTGTACATTCTAATATAGGCGAGACTCATTAATCATTTTCGCCCACACAATGAAGAATCCAACTTACTTGCTGGGTTTGTCGAATGCTTTCACGTTGAGCGTTGACATTTTGCTCCTCATGGATCATGGCTCGTTCTTCTTCCTCGGTCTGAATACAATCCCCCTTATCCCGCTTCGCATCCCATAGCCTTTGTCGTGCTAGATCCAATGACTACATAAATCGTTTCACCCCCATACCAATTAGCTGTCAGCCATTTTTGGCACGATCCATCCCATCCATACCCGTATGATATCTTGCAGGTTATCCAATTGCTGCTTCTGTTCTTCTGATTGCTGCATCATTTGTTCCACTTTTTGCTCTTCATATTGGAGACTCTTTTTCAATTTTGCGAGGGTCTAGAAAAGATAAACCCATTCAATGATTGCTTTATAACCTTCCTTATGTAACGTACCGCTTGTTTCTCTTGTGGACCGATATCGAGCAGGGATTTGGTTGGATTGAGTTGATTTAACAGCTGTAGCAAGTTGAATTGTGCCTCTTCCTACCAAAACATAAAAAGCGTATGAATAAATGTGAGAGACCTCATCATAAGGTATCCTTACCATTTCATCCTTGAGTCGCCCTCGTTGCTTTTTGTGCTCATTAGCTTCCGCGATAAGCTCATCCGCTGTTTTGGCTATTTCCCGGAGGGCGTAAGCTTCAGTTTGACTCTCGGCTTCCAGTTGTTGAATGGCGTGTTCGATCTTTGGCATTTCTTCCCTATCACATTCCTTTAGCAAGCATAAAAAGGGGTGTTTTCCATATTCCAACAAGTACCTTTCAACAAGCAATCGGCTCTCTGCTTTAGCGATAGCTTGTTCCTCTTGATGTACCTTCTCCATCAGCCGATCCTAACGGCACCATCATTGCATCAGGGTATCATCTCCAAACGTGCTTTTCTCTCTTATAAACGTACCGATTCAATCATCCCTTGTTCAAAGAACTCCCAGCGGCGGTCTCGAAACGTTGCATAATTCACCAATGCGCTCATGATACGTGCCAAGCGATGTGGTGCAGGATGTGTCATGTCAAGTAACTCGAAGTCGGTGAATCCAATATCTTTCAATAACGCTCGCCTTTGGATAATGGAAAATGAGCACTGAGTATCGAGCAGGTATATGTATGGTAGAGTCATAAACGTACATCCTTGAATAAACAAGAAGGTTTCTAGCATCAACAGGTTCAAAGTCGAGTTCATCCAAGGGAAGTTCTGCCGATTCGATTTCTTCATAGACGCTTGGCTTGAGTTGGTGTAGAATGTTGAGGAAGATCTGTTCTGTGTGCTCTGCAGTAGGATGCAAGAGATCTCGCTCAGTGACCTCGAGATCCATCTCTTGAAAAGCCGTCAGCAGCTGATCGATTGTCAAGGTGGGTAGATCGAAGATTCGTGTGCTGGAATTCTGGGTATCATCGCGTATCTTTTCAAAGACTCGACTGCTGGGCATGATTATTGGAGTGGAACAAGAAGTGCTTGATTGTTCCACAAATGCTCGTCGCGTCAATCAATTTCAAAATGCCCCCACCCAGCCGACAGCTTATCGTATGTACCTGTACCTTTAGAATCCCATCCACCATGTTATATGATATCCAAGCCCATAAATAAAGTGATTTTGCAAACATCAATGCCTTGGATCATGTAGCCTATTTTGGCAAGGGAAGAAAGGGCCTTTTGGATCCACGTACCAAGCAAGACACGCGCCCATCACTTTCTCATCACGCGTATGCATCACAAAAGATCATCCAACATTTACACAGGACAATGCTTCTTTCTTGATCTGCAAAGCCAATATATAACAAAGGTGAAATATGACATACAAATAGATACACAATGTGAAAAAGAGAATATAACTAAAATACTATGCTACAAGTGGTAAACTGCGCACGGCGATTACACGTGTTTTGGAAAGAGATACGTTGAATATAGGTCTAATCGGTGGTGGAGAAGAGGAGAGGATTGTTGCTTTTAACGAGATACGATTTAAACTCTCTTGAAGGGATAGAAACCACCATAAATGACACGAAGGACACCGACAAGGCAGGCACCAACGAAGAATAATACACCAGCAAAGATGACAGCACCATCATAATCAGGAACTTCAGTGCGATCGACAATAGCAGATGCGACAGGCTGACCCAGCAGACCACCGAAACACCAAGCAAAGAATGCCCAACCGGTACCCGAGTCAACTCTTTCAATACCGACAATTTGAGCTGTGAGGGCTGTAATCATGGCAATGTAACCACCACCTAAAAGTGACACAAAAAGATTAGATTTTGTTTGCAACATAGATGTTGTATGCAGGTTGCATGATTACTTACCAAAGACACCATACATGGCACAGAAGCCCCACAAGCCAGCTTGATCAGTGGCTGTAAGCCATACAGCTAAATGGGCCACACAAGCCATCAAGCCGCAAAAGACGCCCATGTTGAAGCGACCAACATAATCGCTCAAGAAGCCAACACCAATCTTGCCAACAATCATGCATGCTGACATGACGGAGTTCATGTTGGCACCGATGAGACCGCTATAACCCAAGTACTTGGCATAAGAAGGTATAAATCCGGAGGGAATCTAAAAGGATCAGGGGTATAGCATGAGCAATTGCTACGTATTCGGTAAATCACACGTGTTGTACAACTTACATAGAAAGCAAAGTTGCCAATAAAGTGAACAAAGAAATGGATGATAAACTTCTTGTTCTTCCAATCTTGGAAGTCGATGAAGGGTACGTTCTTGGCTGGGGGATTTAAACGCCAGCTAGTACAGGCGGCGATGGCAATGAGTACAAGCTGCATAAATCCGAGGATACGAAGTGCCCAACGATAATCAAGGGTCTCAAAGCATGCATTAGCAATGTTTGAAAACACAAGACCACCAACACCTGAGGCTGCCATGGTGATGCCGACAGCCAAACCACGACGTTTTGAAAACCATTCTTGAGGACCACGCAAGCATGCAAACCATACAAGCGATGAAGAAACACCCGACATGATACCTTGTGTAATGTACAATTGCCACACCTAACCAAAAACTGGTAAGAAGATGAATGTACAACATAAAAACATGGGACACATACCGCATTGGTGATACTGGCAAGCATCATGGCAAGCGAGCTGGTGATACATGCAATGCCCAACACATAACGATCATCGAACTTGGAACCCATCCACAGGTAGATTGGACCAGTGATATTACAAAGACAATACCACAAGGAGCCGATCCAACTAAGGGCCGTCATATCTCCAGGATAGACCGATTGGTACTCGCTATAGAATACGCCCCATCTATTGATGCATGTGGAGTTTGAGTAAAAATTCAACGTGTCACAATTCGATCTCAACTTACGAATAACCATAACCTTGGCTGATGACCCGATCAAAGCAGGAAAATGAAATTTGATTAGATAATGAATAAAAAAAAACTTCAAGCATCAAAAAGCAGGTACACCTACGTTGCAAAGAAACCCTGTATACAATGAACAAGTGTGTATTAGCAAATACGATTCAATTGGAGAGAATGGTTGTAAAAGACTTACACAAAATGAACCGAGTACAACTAGCCATGCTTTCCAGCCACCATCAGGCGCCTTGTTGTATAGGACTTTTTCGCCATCATGCTCTGAATAAGATACGTCGTCGGCAGAAAGCTTGGGTTTGGCTTCGATATCGTCGAAACTGTTATGGCGAGATTCTTTTTCGGTAGAAGAAGACATGCTTAACAAAAGAAAAAGTGGGGAAAGGGGGGAGATGATGTTCTTTTTAAATTGAAAGGACTTCACAGAAAAGATCGAGTGTTACTTGGTGTCACCTGAGGATGAAAAGTATTTTGATGGCCCGCTATAGATAGCGTTATCAAGTTGGGGAGTGGTAGGGTTTGCAGCTGGATGACGGCTATTCGTCGAAACACCCGATTGATGAATAATAAACACCCAATCATAGCCCGGATCTGGTTGTAGAAAGACCATTGACATAAAGACTTACCACTCGTCCCCGTTCGACCGGCAGGTACCAGCTATTGATATGACCTCCTTCGTTACGATTTTATTTCCTTTTTCACGGCTCCACAATTGCGATGATGCTATAATTTTCTCACCCCCAGGCCATTTGATCTGGGGAAGACTTTACGAGCCATCAACCACGTTTCACCAACATCCAAATAGGGATCAATCACTTTTCTAAAATGGAAATCACTCTCTCATTGGAACAATGCATTTTTTTGACAGGTGCCATTTCACTTTCTTGCATATGCTTGGTCTCCGCGTGTCTAACATCAATTACTATCCTTGAAACTGAAGATGGAAACACACCAAAGAACCAATCAATGGAACTTGGCTGTTGCAAAGAAAAAGAACCTCACGACTTACATACCTCATCCACCCGCGTTGTCCTGTAATCTATTAATACTCCTCTACTACGCTTTGGTTTTTAACTTGATGTCATGCTTTCCTCTACGGGATGCACGCCGTACATGCTGCACCACGTCGCTCAAGGTTTAATTCTGATGACCGATGTCATCAGCATAGAACAGCCTTAGTCCCATCTTATTGTTGTCATTACCTCATCACACAGCTTGGTTACCTTTATGCAGTCGCTTGCCATGGCAACCCCTGTTGCTAGGCAACAGCCCCCAAATTTGCTATGAAACAGCTGGCTATATACCTAGCCAGTAGTCTTTGTCATGCACAAACACACCCATGTTGCTCTTTCGGATGATATCCTTTTTCGATGCTACGGTGTCGCTACCCGAATATTCAAAGCGCGCGCATCTGATCATGCTTGGTGTGTGACACGTTTGATAAGTGCACCACGATACCATGTGCAACCATGACCGCATCATAATCGTCGCCTGGGGAGGCGATCATGTAATGCTTTGCCAAGAATTACGCACACGTGTATGTCCCAATTGATATCATACTCCACCACCGCTACCTCCTTCACGCTAGCCTCTCACGCTAGATGCCTAAAGGCATGTTGCAAACCAACAAGACAAATGATGAATGTAATAATAAAAAGTCATCGTATGATGTTGTATCCTAGATACTACTACTCTCTCACGCATTTTGGATGTAATCCTTCACACACGACTTGATGTTACCCTGACGTCAATGTTTTTGTTTCTCTTCTTTTACAATAAAAGGTCGTGCTAGTCACAAAATACATGATAGTAATGATGCCGTGACTACATACGGTGGATTGTGTAGGTGTATTACCAATCATCGCTATATAATGTTAAGCAGCAATGCAGTATGATGACATGCTTCTTCGCCACCATGTATGTTACATGGATATACCAGCCAAAGCTGTGTCGTCGACCTACCAATTTATAGAGGACACTGAAGCTGATAATGCTCTTAGTAAGCAGAGGATCTTTGCATGGCATCTTAACACCACTCATCTTTGTGTACGGCAAAGCCAACCAATATATGGGAAAGCGGCTGTCAAACCTTGTTCTTTCCGGGATACTGGAACGATCCAAAGTACTCATTCTCCCACCCTCCCACCAATCACATTGGTAGACAAACATCAATTCAGGGCACATACATCGTACGAGTGGGATTGTATACTATGTTTGAGAGGTATGATTGATTTGTAATCAGCATTGTTGTCTACGTATCTATTCCATGGAAACCATAATACGTATGCTCTGCTATTTGTTTATGTATGCATGCTGCAACGCCGAGGCATTTGTTTAGGCATAATGTACCTTTTTTGATCATGATCATTCTTTATCACATGTCCCGCTGTATCACACCAATGGCGGTAAAGCAGTAGAATTCCTCGGCAATTTCATTCATCAAAGCCAGCCATACATCCCTATTCACGAGGCTACTTCCATTCCATACGAATCCATCCATAAGCTAAAGGACCTATAATTATGATAACCAATGGATTGACAAACATCATAAAAGTGTTTTTATTGCATGTGGGGGGATTACAGAAAAAGTAAACCTATTGCTTCCAGATCTTGTGTTCCAAACCCATCTCGTTGTTAGGAGCCAAACCAACGCAAGCACGAAGGATGTTTTCAATGGCAGAGCGTTGTCTACCAAGAGCATTGACAACGGGAGTGCCAGGGGAAACCATGGGGGCCTTAAGCATGTAGCTCAACAAGGACATGACGCTGTGGAAGGAGCTGAACTTGGTCATATCACCAGTCTTGTATTGGACACGAGTCAACAATTCGGAAAGGACCACCAAGTCAATGATCAAAGGAGAAGCCAAGAAAGAGTCTTCGCAAATGTTGTAGACCGAAATGGATTGACGACCACCCATGAAGATGTCGCATTCGTACTCATCAAGGGCACGCTTGGAATCACCAACGGAGGGGACATACTTGATGACAACGGTGTGATCAGGGTGCTCACCTTCCTTGTACAAGATTTGGTTGGCAGCGACCATATCATCGACAACGGTAGACTTTGAAATTTCCTTGGAGCGGAATTGCTTGTGAGAGGACAAGTTTTTGCCGTCATTGTTACCAAGATGGTTGTAGGAAGTGATAGCCACAGGTTTGATACCAGCATTGACCAAAAAGTCAACAATCGCCGACTTGAATTTGGTTTGACCCGACTTGAAATCATCACCACCGATAAGAGCACGTTCACGCTCAGCAAGTTGGATAAGACCAGGGACAAAGGTGTTTTGAGGAGAGCCATTGATGAAAGGAACGTTTTCCTCAATACAAGCCAAAGCAAAGATGGATGAAGGAGCCACTTCAGGGTGAGAAGATTGGACAGCAGCCAAAAAGTTGTCAGCGGTATCATTGACGCCTTGAATGATTTCAGCGTAACGTTCGGTGTTGGCAGTCCAGACAACAATGACCTTATCAAGTTGATTGGCGGACTTGAAATCACGGATGTCCTTGCGAATTTGATCACAATGTTTACGCTTGTCATCACCAGGAATCAAGTTGTCAGCACGATCAGCTTGGTTGGCAGCAATGAAATCGGGATAGTAAATGGATGGCAAAGGCTTCATGGTCGACATTTCCTTGTGGAGTTGACGTTGAATATCGTACTCCAAGACCTGAGCACGTTCCATGGCATCACCCAAGTTCATACCAGAGATATCCCAACCACCAATGACCATATCAGTAGGATCCACCATAGGCAACATCTTGTTCAAAGGAACATAAACATCCTCGCCTTCGGGAGTAACACCAAGACGTACAGTGGAAGCTTGAGTGACAGAGCCCCAGTAATTGGGACGATGTTCACCATTCTTGGTACGCCAAGTAACCTTGTTCTTGTGAGCGAGAACGGATGCCGTCAAAGTGGTACCATTGTTGCCACCCCAGCCAACCATCATCAAACTATACATATACAATGACCCATTAGCCTTCTTCTTGTTGTATAGATAAAGCACATCACATGTCTTTTGTTTCCCTTACCCAACACGAGGAACCTTGGTTTCAGTCTTGAAATGGTAGACTTGTTCAACGGGTTCAACGGTCATCGAACCATCAGGTTGCTTGTTGACAATGGTGTTGGAGTACGCGTACTTGGACACAATGTGGGAATCAGAGTACTCGACATTGGAAGAATGGACCTTGAAGAGAGGAGATTGTTGAGAAACACCAGCAGAGGCGGGCACAGCAGTGAAGTTTTCAGCGTGGGGAGGAGCCATTTTAAGTTGATTTCTTGGGTCTGTCACTGCAGCGACGATATCCTCTGTGTGGGTTATGGTTGGACGATAAGAGATTGGCGAACTAGAGTAGAGGATATCCAAAAGTCAATAAACAGGAGAGAAGGATTCAATGCAATGCAAGCCATACCGTTGTTCCTAGACTTAAAAAGAGGTGCAAACTATCTGTTTTGCGCCTCAATAATAACTCAAAGGTTTGTGTGGGGGAGAAAAAAGCGGACAAGGATGCACGAACAAGCTGCCTTTTATCTTTTGCCTCTCTCCGAAACCCGGATCCTTTGACAGCACCCGCTTTAAATTTTCCACCCCAGAAAGTAACACGAGATCTTATCCGCGCCTTTTTGTCGTGGGGTTGACATGGCAACAACAACAACCACAACAACCCCATCTCTTCCCTTTTCTTATTTTACAATCATCATTTTATTCATTCATGCTATAATCCTATGTGCATGTTCATGTATGTGTCTATGTACATTGTGTGTGTGTTCTTTGTATCAATGTACCATATAAGCTTCATCTCGTGCGACTTGCATGTGCCACGTCAAATCATGGTCGTGTAATTATCAAATTCAAACGTAAGCGTTGGAGGAATACGGGATGTTGTATGGGAGATCAAGGAGTTTGATGCAGAATAAGAAAAAAATGCCCGTTTCTGCATGGAATGCTGCAAGTAGCTGTCGAGATGGAAGAATTGGTAAAGGGATGGAAAATCCTTGGGTCCACGGAAGATATGTACTGCCATGTGACTTTTTACCGTCTTTGGTCGATTTGATGGTTCACACAAAGATCCACCCCAAAAAAGAGATGATTTACAAAGAGCGTTGTTGTTATTTACACACTGTGTCATGAAATTCGATATGAACAAATGAATGGCTATGGGAGGGTGGGGAAGGGAATGGGTCGGGAAAAGAACGATGCGTAATGAATGGGGAAGATATGATAAAAAAGAAGGGTTAAGCATGTGCCGTTCGCTTTTCAGAAAAGAAACTACTACTTGCACTGGCTTCTCGACTACGCGTAATCCGTCCTTCTCGTTCATCATCATTGGCTACCATATCTCTTTGACGACCTCGGCCTAATTGGGTAGCAACAGCTGTGGAACCAAAACGTCGTTGAAATTTGATAAGCTCACGTGTCAGCATGTCCATGATCTCCAACGATGACTGTTCCTTGCTTGCATTCATCTTTTCAATAGCCTCTTCTGCCACACTCTTTTCTTCATGATGTATTCGTGCTTCCTCTTCCAATGCCGACTCCTCAAGGGGTATTGTACTTGCACTACTCATAGAAGAGGATGGCGAATCGTGTACTTTTCTTTCTGGAATGATGATGGATGCAGGTTTGTTGCTGTTATTGTTGTTGTTGTTATGGTCAGTGCCTGCACCGATAGGATTGTTGGATGATGATGAGGGTGGTGATGATGATGTTGTTGTTGTGGTTGTTGTTTGCGGACAATGACATGCTGGTGACATTGTTTCCTTGTTGGCCATTTCCACTTGAATTGAGCTGATGTATTCCAAGATTTGCTTTGTTCTTCGATTCATCTCTGATATGGTCATTCGGGCTGATGGATATCGCACACGAGCAGGTGGAGATGATTCACGTGCGGCTGGTGATAATTTATCAAAGATAGAGGATCGTGCATCGGATGTACTGGAGCTACTTGCATTGTCAACTGGTTGAGGTGTCGATGTTCGAGAACGAGGTTTGCTTCCACCACCACCACCCACTCCACCGCTTTGTCCACGTTTAGAACCGGATGAATTGGTACGTCGCCCATTATTCGCACGAGGTCGCTTCTCATTCGCTTTGGCCACTCTTCCACTGGCAACAGATGATGAATCGCTACCTTGTCGTCCATTATCATCATTCTTGTTCGATCGTCCACTATTCAATCGCTTTGGTTTGCTGATAACTTTATCCACCTCCATTGCATCATCTATCATTCAATCCAAATGAGTCTCTTGTGATCTTGTAGATAATCATTATCACCTACCAGTAGCAGTATTGGTTTCCAGAATAGTAGCATCATGCTCCTTTGTATCAGTAGATGGTGATTGTGACGTTGCTTTTTCTTCCACTGTATCATGTTCATCCAATTGTTGATGTTGTTGATGTTGAGGTGGTGAATCGGGAATGGGATCAAGTAAAGAACGAGAAAATTCCAATGCATTTCTTGCTGCCAAAACATCTTCGAGTGACATGGATGCTTCACGACTGTTGAATGTCATTCGTTTCTTCGGAGCTTTCTTTTCCACATTGGCAGATGGAGCATGGTGTCCTATGGAGCTGTAGGAGCGTCTCACCCTATTTCCAACAAATCAGTCACTGAATACATAACTTTTGTAAAATTGCTTACCTTCCATGACTCAATCTGATCACAGAGTGATTTTCCGGTTTACACTCTTCACAATAATACTGATCTGGTATATCTTGTTCCTCCAAGCCCACGCATTCACAGTGTTGCCATACTTCGCATTGGTCGCATTGCACCATCAATCCCATATTGTCTATATCGATTCCCCCCCCCAAGTTACTATATAGCTCTTTTTCACCCTTGTCATATCCAATTCACACTTACGAGATTCTCCACATACACAACGGGTCACTGATCCACCATCAGTACTTTCTTCTTCAGAGGTTGATTGTGATGGTTGTGGTTGGGGTATCACTTGTCGCTGTCGCTTTCGACTACCGTAACCGTTTCGACCACGTCGTTGTGCAGCTATAACCAGATTTGCCGTTAATCGGTTGTAGAGCACTCGACGTGGGAAGGATAGGTGTGTGCGTGTTGAGTTCTGGAGTATATAGAAAGGAGGGGGGAAATGGTAGGTGGGTGGTGGGTGGGTAGGTAGACGAGGAGAGCTTTGAAGAAGGCAACTTACTCATTGTAGTTGTGATTGAACGAGAATGGTGTTTTCAAGTGGCAATGATAGAATGTTGACTTGGGTTGAGTGTTCGATTATAAAGTCGCGTGTCAATGGAGAGAAAAAAGAGAGGAAAAAGAGAGAAAGGACAAGCTGTGTGTGTGTACGGGAGAATCACCCAAAGCGAGCCAGAAAAAAAGGATGGATTCACAACCCCGCTGAGCA